GACTTTTCTTACGCGAGAGCTAATTTAATTCCCCAATAAGTATTTGCAATATTTTTTTGCTAAATTCATTTGAACAAATGGATTGATAAATGAAATTTTACCCTTTAGCCTTCACCAACACATGCAACTTCCCTTTAGTCGTTCACAACTGACATGAAAATGAAGAAAAGAGATCATAGAGTGATAAACGTTGAGCCCAAATATCTGCTTACTTGGAATGCTTATCCCGGTAAAATGGCTAAAACTATCAATTGACTTGCTGAAAAGATTTCTGAGCCATAACTACAGAACCTATCGAAACTGGAACATAATTCTAACCTCAAATCCATTTACCGTATTTAGGTATTTTTTAAATTATTTGGTTTGTATATGGTATATTAAACAATTGGGTGACTTCGTATGTCCACTGTTGCATGTGAAACCTGGTAGTCTGTGCATGTCTGTGATCATAAGTATTTTTTCAAGCTTTTCACATTACTATTACTTCTCAACCTGTGATGAATATGTCGTCCAAACTAATAATCATTAACACCAGAAATTTCAAAAATTAGCTGATCAATATTGAAGATTATAATTATAATAGTTATATCTTTCATAGTGGGACCAAATAAACAGTTTATTATTAAACGGAAAAAATAGAATAAATAACATTTTATGTTTATTAAATATATATGAAGCTAAAACAAATTAAAAAATTATTTAATAATTTTAAGTACTTAAATACAAATTTTATATTTTAATACATATATATTCATAGCTAAAGAATATTTGTTTTTAATAGTTTCGCCAATTTAGCCCACTGTAATTATGGAGGCTTTTGCGAGGGTGCACGTCCATCCTGTCGTATTGTTATCTATCATTGATGCATATGAAAAGCGCCCTGATTTCAATGATCAAATAATCGGAACTCTTCTAGGCATGTTATTTTTTCTTTCAAATTTACTCTAATGTTAGGTACCTTTGAAAAGGGTGTGATTGAGGTCACACACTGCTTCCCTGTTCCCCATAGGGTTCACGATGGTGAGGTTTCAATGAAATTGAGTTTTTCTCAAACTATGCTCAGTCTTGAGCGGAAAGTTTCTCGCTACTCCAGACCCGTTGGATGGTTCTCGACTGGATCGGACGTTACAGAAGCTGAGCATTTGATTCACAAAGACAACTATAAGAAATCACAGAAGAATCCTATCTTCCTCTTAGTTAATCCAAATCTTATTGTTAGTGAGAAGATGAGCATTCAGGCTTTTCAGAGTCAGTGTATCGGTGTTCCAGGTGGAACTATGGGGACAATTTTCCTTCCATTGGAGGTTAATTTGCAGTTTTATGATACCGAGCGTTGTGTTGTTGATATGATGAATGAAGATGTCCTCAATGGAGGAGAAAGTGCCTCTGAGGTACGTCTATTGCTATCTTTAATAACTGTTGGTATCTGGTTTACGTAGTGGTTTTTGCTGCATTATTATCTATCAAATTTTGTGATGTTCCGATAAACGGTTATTATAATTTAAGCAGATATCTCAGTTTTAATTCTTATTTGGGTTGTTTTCTTTTTGTGGAAATGGTTTGGATAGTTTTTAAAATGCATGCTTTTGGAATCGTGTTTTAATTCAATACAATTGTTTAAAATTGTGCCTTCTTCATAATTCCCGAGTTTACTCCTAGTTTTTGCGAGTATTCTCTAAATTTTCACGTCATGGTCACTCAGACTGTTAAGCTTGATTAATTTGTGTTCGTTTTTTAATTAAATTACGTAGTTTTGGGGCACAGCATCGCACTTCTAATACTTCTGGCCTACATTTCGTTATTACTATCGGTTCATTGTGATCGATGGATCGACTGGTTCAATATTCTCTTGGAATGAATTGACCATGGGGAAACTATTTTCAATTCATTTTTGTTTTTTTTATTTAATTGGTTGTGACCTTTTTAAAAAGGCTCATACTTTTCCTTACTTCCTTTTCCTTGTATTATAATGTTAGAATTTATCAATGAGGCTTCTGAAGACGGACTGTCGATTTTTTTTGTAGTTTCAGAACAAAATTCTCCTAGTTGAAAACATTTCCCAAGGTAATAGTGGCAGTTTAATCTTTTACATTGTTCATCACTTAGCTCTGAAGGCTATAAGTAACTGTGATTAATCATAATTTCCCTTTTTAACATTATTGTCCTCATTAGTGTTTCCAAGAATTTTAGTTCAAATAGACCAACTAAAGGTGAAACCGTGTTGAATAAAAAATGATAAGGGGAATGTGTATTCCATTTCTTCATAAGCAATACATTTCACATCTTAATATCCAAATGTTCCAAAGCTTAATTTAATTTGATTTCCTGTGCTTTTATACTCGCGATATTCCCTGTGAATTTGGTTCATAAATTTAAGCGAATGTTCAGCCATTTCGCATTCATTTATTTATGTCGAATGTTTCCTCTGTTTTAGCCTAAGGGTGATTTGTCCTACTTGTACAATTTGACCAATCGCCTGTTAGCCCTCTTGGAGAAGGTTAATTCCAAGGTGGAGGATTACGCAAAGGGAGATAAATCAGTCGATAGTGACTTGGGTATGGCCATCTCACGCCTGCTCTTCGCCACACCGAAATTGGATGCTGAGAATGTGGAGGATTTGATTAGTTCTTCATTTAAGGATCTCCTTATGGTCACTTACTTAACTAACATGATTCGCGCGCATGCAAAAATTCTCTCCATTGCGCATTAACTTCTTTGTACATTGAGTAAAATATGATTCACTCCTGGCCTTTCCATGCTAATCTCATTTTTTTTGTTTATTTTTTGGAGAAACGGGGAGTTGTGACTAAAATAATCTCTCGTTTTTTTATGTTTATTAAGTACTGGATAGAAAAGGAGGTTTGACATTTTTAGGTCAATCTTATTGCATAAATAGCACTATAGCCTTAAAATTATAGTATTGCTATACCGTTATCTTAGTTCCCATTTCCAATTTTGCGTTTTTTTCTGGAGAACCGCGGATACCTCACCGTCACTAAATTATCATAACACTGTATCCTAATCAGATAGCCAAGGTAAAGAGCAAATGGGTGCGTTTATTACGCACACTGCTTTTCCCATAATAAGTGATGTAAGTGGAAAAGTCACTGTTGAAAATGGTTAGGCGTCTGATGATAGATTACAGGGTTGAGGAAACACTTTAACATCTAATCCGACTTTATTAACAAGCCTCTTCATGCTCCCGGACACTTAGATGAAACAGCCGGGGGTTGACTTAAATACGCTTTATTTCATGTCTTCAAAGTCATTCGAAATTATTCGCTTAGTGGAGTTTCAATGACAGCGTCCAATGGCTATACTACAGCCACGGTTACTCAGATTATGGAAATCGAAGGGTGGGTATGGGAGCTTCTCCACGGGTCATTTCCTATGAAATAGATTTACCTGAAAATAGAACTGGCCTAGTTCGCGAATGTTCATAGAGGGGACGTAGAAATCCATTTATCGATATGCCGTCCACTGCGTGATCGACTCAGGTGCATTGGAAATGTCCTATTGTATTCCCAACAAGTGAAGGGTTTGGAGCTTCCTAAGACCAACTTAAAGAATATGATTCATAAAGAATATCATGGTGAATATTCGCTTACTAGCATGGTCTCTTTTGCGCTGTACCAACATTAAAAAGTAATACGGTGGGAAATGAGGTGCTGTTATATTAATAAAAAAGGAAAAATTAGCATTTTTAGATGGCAGTAAATAATAATTATCTAATCTACTTATTTCTTTATAAGTAGCGGTTATTCCATTACTTAGATAATAAGACTTCATACTACATGCAGTACTAATTACAGTTTGAACGATTGTAATTATTGTAAATTTGAACTTTTACATGCTGGATGTGATAAGTGAAGAAATTGTTTACGCAACCATCCTTTCTATTTTTGAGATACCCGATGTGTACTTTCAAATATTCGAAATTCATGGCTGCTCAACGTAATTAGGAAATATTTACTGTAATAGGCCTCTTAAAACTGAAAATAAGGTGGAAAAATTACCAAATTATATAATATATAGCTATTAAACCTATCATAATTGTCGCTAAAAAGAACTGAAATTTAGAAAATATGCACCCTATTGTCCACTTATGCTGTATACGATCTTTAAATAAACGGATTCCATATTATCTTAATGCAAACCACTGACCCCATATTTTCTAATCATCTAGTCATAGAGTACTTATAATCAAATTTCAGTAGTGCGCCAAAGTGACTGTAAAGGATGTCGAAATCTCTAAAAGCTTAAGTTGGCTCAAATAGCGAATTAGTAACTTAGCAGATCCTCATACAACATGATACACTGTTGGCTTTAAGGGCCAATTACATACTCGCAGAGTTTGTCGTGTTCTCCTTATTGGCTAATAGCGACCAGCCAATGAATTTGTCGATGCTCTTTTGGCATTTTCCGTGCACAGTCGGCTGTAGCGTATTTGGTGTTCGTCCCCTGTTGATGTCCTCTAAAAGCTCAAGGTTTAAACGATGGTGTTTATACTGTATTCTTGTCATTCACGGGGTTGCTCTTTTTCTAATTCTACTTGGAATCATCAATGGACTGGAAATGCACAATTTTTTCAGCAGAGGACCTAAAAGTGACTATGAAAGACATTCATCGTTGGTAGCAGAGTTAAAAACTTTGTCTCAATTTGTTAATAAAACTGTTGAGGAAGTTGCTCAGGAAGTATTAGATCAACAGACGGCTATCAAAGAGAAATTTTACAATTCCGGTGAGTACATATCGTATTATATTTCATCAAATTACTAAATTATAACACATATTACCTTAACATTTACATTTAATGTTCTTCCCATTTTCCATGGAAATGGCTAACTTTTTTCAATTTTTAGCATTTCACAAACAAGTGACTTCGTAATTTGTTAGGCTCTAAACGGCATAGTATAGTAGTTGATTTTGCCCTTACTTTTTAAGGTAAATTCATTCTTTTTTTAGTATCGGTTAAATATTTCCTTCCAAACATTTGTTATGTGATATTAGTTCATTGGAAGAGAGTTTATTGACAAATGGTTTTATTCAACTTAATATTTTAAAGTTACATTTAATAGAATCACTGAGTCTTGGAACTGGGTATTACACAATGTAAAATTTCATGCATTGCGCTATGAGTTTTTTCACTATTTTCTAGGCAAAATCTTAACGGAATGTGGTTATAAAACGCCAAAGACAAATTAAATAAAGAAATAATACGTAAAACAAACTATTTGTGGTGAAATGAGCTGCCAACCGGCTGATGTCTACAAATAGAGAAGTTTTATGTTTCAATTATGTGCTTGAGAATGTCGCTTCGAAGCCTAGAGGTTGTAACGGATTGACGCTCGAATAAGCCCCGACTTATCCTCAGTAATATCTCTATGGCTATCCTAAAATTCTCATGACTTCCATTTATTCGACTCTTGTTATTGATTTGTTGCAATTTCGTTAGGCTCAGTCTATTGATTCGAAAGCATGCACTCGTTTCTATTTTTGTAATCGAGCTTTCCTTAAATCGTTGCAACCTTTGAATTCGCTCATACTAAACCTAATTATGTCGCGTAGGCGTCCTGTGGTTGCCACACAATTAGTTCACTATTGTACTGCTTGAATCAAGTAAAGTAACATTAAGTTGAGAATGACTTCTCATAATTAAATTATTTTAAAGCATCGTCTTTCTAACTTTCTAGGTATTAATGTAGCTTCTTCTCAGATGGAAATGTTCACCGAAGCCTGTAGAGATGCCAGTAATCAACGATTACTTATGGTTTTTCCTATCAGAGATCGCTGGAATCTACTTAGGTCCCTTCTAAAAGAGCTTCTACCTTTACTTCAAAAACCTAATCTCTGTGTATTCAAAATAGTGGTAGAGCAGGTAAATCTATTCATCCAACAAGGCCAATATCGCTTTCTCCAATTAGACTGATTCAATGGCATTCAACAAAGCTCTTCTGATGAATGTTGCTGTAATAGAGATGGCAAAGCAAGTTCCATTCGACTGTATCATCTTCCATGATGTGGATTTGATTCCAACTTCTGGTGATGAGGTGTACTATGAGTGCCCTTCTTACCCTCGTCATTTATCGGTTAAGGTGGACAAGCTCAAATATGAGTTAGTTTAATTTATTTCTTTGAACTGCCCTGTCTTTTCCTTCTTGGGGTAAGGTATAATAATTTTTTGAGATTTCTTTTTAAATTTACATTTTTGTATGCTTAATTTCTACTGGTAGAAGAATCCAGTGGAAATTGAAGACTTTTTATTTCCTCTTTAATTTCGTGTTGAATGCTATTGCTATAGTTTAATATTTTATCAATTTATTTTTACTTTACAATATTTCTGCTTTTTTGTTATTGAGTTGTTATTTGTATTTTTTTAAAAAGCACCGCTTAGTTATAGTCCCCAACCTCGTTGAAGTTTCAAGAGAACATTATATAGCGTGGCCAGGATAAAAGTGATCCCATGTCAATGTAGGAAAATAAATCAATACTATATCTTTATTTAAAAGTAGTACCTGTAGAATGTTGGAAATCATGGCATACTGAACAGGCAATAGTTCAAGTGCTTAAAGTTTCTACGCAACTCAGCACGTATCAACACGTCTCTTATCTTGATCGCACTGTTAATCCTCCAGGATGATTAATTCGAGTTCTAATAACACTTTCTTGATCATTTTTAGTCACTGTATTAAATTAAAACTTCTCGATACTGACAATTTAACTACTCGCCTGCTCGTCCACCATTGATACAACTCTATGTACATTATAACTTTATGTTTTTTATGTTTTAATTATATGATAAGGTGATATGAGGTAGTAGTCTTGACGACGCATTGATTTATCTGCTGCCACATGGATTAAACTCTAACCTGTATGTCTCTCAATACGTTTCATAAAACTTAGACGCAAAATTACTTACACCACAATGGAATAGACCTAAGTGATCCTTCTATCGAGCACTGTGAAGCTACCAGTGTGTTGAAAATCGTTAACGAGTATATTCGGTGACTTTTTGTATGCTACAAAGAGGTTTCATTTAAGGTGGTGAATCTTGAGTGCATATTTGTCAAGTTCAAAGCACCCTTGAGTTAAATGATATCGACTTTTAATATTTCAGTCTACCTTACCTCGGTCTGATTGGTGGAGTATTTGCATTACCGTTGAGACATTTTCTTCAGGCAAATGGCTACTCAAACATGTTCTGGGGGTGGGGTGCTGAGGATGATGACATGTTTGAAAGGTGCGTGCACGATCATCGGTTCTTTGCGCCTAAAAATGGTTTGAGATTTGACTAACTTGTATTTGCTTATTTCAGGCTTGCCATTGTTGGTATTCCTGTAACACGACCTATGCCGAATCCTACACGTTACATCATGCTTCCGCATCGGAAAAGCTCAACTTCTGACTATCAGCGAGCGTAAATTTTAACAATCTGCGTGTTTTGTTTATTTTATTATACTTCCCTTAATGAGTGTAATTCAATATTCAAACTCAAGAATGGAGCAGGAGAGGTCGAGATCTAAAATAGTCGATTTTCATATTGATCTACAGAGCTATGTAAGCACAGAAGTCTATTGTTTCTGTATTAGTTATTCCCCATAGATCTCTCATCGCTTCTGTAATTGTTAATAACTACGTTTGCAATGTGAGATCAAGTACTATGCTGCTTAGACGTCTGGACCCTGTTTGCTGGGCCATTTTGGCTCAAATATTTCGTTAACGCTTACCTATCTTTTTGTGAGGGGTGATTTAAGTACTCTACCTCTGCGTGATGATGTTAAACTGAGTTGTCTTATTGTTTCGGCAAATTTTCATATCGTTTGCACTGTCTTCATTATTAGGGCGTATTTTTTATTGCGCACTCATCACACTCGCATAGGAGGGATTACTGAAAAGGGGTTAGTAAAAAAGCCTTTCAGATGAAAGAGCATCAAGTTTAAAAGGTGGACAAAGTGTGAGAAGAAGCCATCTTCTTATTGCAATTTTTAATTCGGTCCTGATCAGCCTGAGTGCGCTGTGATTTTGCATATCTCGCATCCAATCATCTTATTAGTCTACTCTAATTACATGTTTGTGGGCATATTTAGGATTCCTCATTAGCAATATTCTTTTTTGGCTTGCAACGCCAAACAGACAGCCCAATTATGTGTACCTCAATTCTACCCTTTTCATGTTAATCACATTCTCACTAACATATACTCCTAGGTTCTAATTCACACTCTCCCTCCCATTCTATTACGGTGGCTCCATGAACATGTCGCTCTCCACTGAACTCCTAGGCTTTCGATTTGGTAATTTCTGATAGCCCTTACTAAGATCAAGCATTTTGTGAAGAGATGTCTCTGATGACGTATTTTAGCGCTATTTATATTTTAGCAATTAGAGGACTAGTACTGACTCGGACTTGGTAGTTGCCATTACCATATACAAACAATTCTTTACTTCATTTGTGCTCTCGTTTCCATTATAGAACTCTACTGTTGGGAATGGCTTTCGAGCGCTATAGACTAGATGGACTTAACTCAGTGAGGTACAGAGTATTGAAGAATGAACGAAGATCGGTCTGCGAAGTGCTTGGAGTGAATCCGAAGCTTTGCCAGCTTGAAAGGTCACATATAACTTATATCTTAGTTGATCCACAGAAAATTGAAACTCACTGATATCTAGTAAGTGAATTGTATATGCATCCTCAACGTTGGCTTGTAAAACCCTTGATCAGTTTCTTCAAGCAACTTATTTTACTATCGTATCTATTTTTTTCGTAAAAGTATATTGTCAATTTGTACCAAATTAACTATTCCGATTTTGTTGTACATAAGCTTCACAAGGAATTTGCCTATAAAAAATTTTATTTCGCTTTATATGAGTTTTCTGATTGGGATCTCATACTAGACCAAAGCTTCTCAGTTTGAACAAAAGGCGTGAACTTATGAGAATTTTAAATTTTTGCAACAGATTGATTCTGTTGACTTCGTCTCAAACATCACATGTTTGGATGAAAATAACATGTGTAAAAGTATGTTTGAACAGCGTATTTAAAATTGGTATTCTTGGTGCATAATAATGCGCTCTCCTTGGTTATTCGAAGGAATGCAATCATAAATCGAGTTAAAATATTTCAATAAATGGTTAACGTATTTCATGGATCTGTACAGAACTGGAGAGTAAGGTTGACCCATTGAAGGCGACCCCTGTCATTTGATACCAGGCGGCCCACTTTGAATCGACGGTTGCAGGTCGTTTGGTGCTGCGGACTACAAAATTCTTTTTCGTATTATTTGAATGCATTCACATCCGGGTTGTTTGAAGCTATTAAGTTGACTGAGTTTTCCATTTTGACATGAATTGTTTGCCAATACTATCTTAGGCATTTTATCGGAGCAAGGCACGCTCATTGTTTACATTTAACGCCCTCAAAACCGTAGGGTCCCCTTTTAAAATAAGCTCCATAGGTACTGGACTTGTAACAGAAGGCGCTATTGCTGTTTGAAGCACGTTAAATACGTATCTACAGTCAAAACGCATCACGTCGGAATCAGTCTGTTGTGGGACACGCGTGAGTGCAGTTGGGTGCACTTTTAAAAAATAAATCGGCGTTAATGGGTTGGAAAATCCTAGTTCTAATCGTAAATTATGAATCGGAAGTGTTGTTTGTATTATTGATCCTCCAAAGACAATAGGCAATCTTGGATGAGTGAAAAAATCCCACGTAACATGATTGGATTGAACACTCTTATAGTTCATAGTCCAAAAAAGAATTTATTAAAAAATGCGGAAGACTATTGATATAGGGTCTGGGCATGCCTAAGGTGGGGGGAGTATTTTGCATAAAAATAGGTTAGGATTTGGAGAAAATAAATATCACTCAAAAGATGGCTATTACTCTCAAAGGAGTCTAGAGCCTAAAGCATTTGGTTATTTTACCAGTCAACCTTACATACACATTTCTCATTGGTTTATATTTATATTAAATAGCAGGCGTTCTGATAGTTATCATTAGCGCCTTAAGCTGACTTCGGGCTTCACAGAGAGGAGGAGGAACATCAAAGTAACAAGAAGTCGAGAAGTGGGAAAGAATAATGATTCACAGATGTAAAAGAGGCAGACACGAAGGCATAGAACAGGTAAGATGAGTACTGTAGAAGGGGTCGAATATGATATACAGTGGGGTCATGGTAGTTTGAAGTCAGAAGTCAAATGCCGGTTAATGGACTTTTTACCGTATGAGTATACATTGCCCAGGGTGCACCATGTGGAGGTAAGTCTATCGCACACCCCTCATTGGNGATTTCAGTTTGTGTCATTAGATTCCAAGGAAGATCCAAACATGTTTCACTTTGAATTGGCCTGAAAAGAGGTTTGTGATAGACTTGCCTCCATGTGGTGCACCTTGGCCAACGTATACTCATACGCCAAAAATATCAATAAACTGGCAGTTGATTTCTGACTTCAAACTACCATGACCCCACTATATGTCTTATTCGACCACCTCCACATTAATAATCTTACCTTTTCTCTGCCTTTGTGTCTGTCTGTCTCTTTTAAATCTTTGAGTCATTATTCTTTCCCTCTTCTCGACTTTTGTCACTTTGATGTTCCTCCTACTATCGGTGAATCCCGAAGTCAAATAAAGGACTAATGATCCCTATCAAAACGCCTTCCATTTGAAACAAATATTGGCTTGAAGAAGGCTAGATTTGGCATGAATTTCATGGAGGAGACAGTGCAAGTCACCAATTTCGGTAACTCGTCATCTAAAACGCGATGGAGCTAGTTCCGCGAAATGTGATCTGTTGATGAAAGGGGTCTAATAGACGCGTAGACAAACTCTCTTAAGGACTAAAATGGCGACTTCCGAGATAGCGCTGTGAAATATCAAGACAATAGACGACGAACTACTTATTAAAAAAAGGATCGGCATGGTATAATCTAAACTCACCTCAGATGAAATTCAAGCGCCCATCGACCTAATTGGTCGTTAGGTCGATGGGCGTCTCCTCCCCCCCGCCATACAAACCGATGATCTTACCAACCGTGTTTATCACATGAAAAGATTAAGAAGTAAACAGGATCTTGAATTTATTGAACAATTGGAAGTAGATGATAAAAGTTTGAGGATGTAGAGTGGGAAGAGATGCCGGAGGTGAAATGTAAGGCATCATCCCGAAGTGAAGGCCAGCGAGATTGTGAAGGTCTGGTGAAATAAGACGTCTTATTTTACGGCCTCCGGTGTTAAACATCTATGACTCATTTCGCGACTGCAAAATAGGAAATTATTACTACATCACCAACTGGCAATCTTTAGCCATCAGTGTGGGACTTTCCAAATGTTATCGCATTTGGAAAAGTGGCAAAGCAGAAAAGCTGACAATTTGCGTCTCAATAACTTTAGATTGTCCGCGGAATTAAAAAAGATGTTGCACTTAATTTCCAATTTCTAAAGTAATGACACGAGGCTTAATTTAACTGGTAATTTTGAACAAAATTACAAGCTGGTGAGGATAGAAAAAGTAATTTTGGGGATAAGGAGGCCTATTTTTGACACGGTTTGGACTGATGTGTCTTTGACCAAACTGGAATGAATTTGGAGAGATTGCGAGAAGATGTGATAGTTTTCAGTGTTTATGTGGGAATTTTGGTTTTGAGCAATATCGAAATACGAAGATTAATTTTGGAAGTTTCTTCTACTTTGAATAGATCAGTTGTTTTATATATGGGAAATGTGGGGTGTGCGATAGACTTACCCCCACGCGGTGCACTCTGGACAACGTATACTCATACGGCAAAGAGGTCTATTAACCGACTGTTGGTTTCTCACTTCAAACTATCATGACCCCACTGTATGTCATATTCCACCACTTTCACAGTACTTACCTTACCTTTTTTCTATCTTTTTGTCTGCCTGTCTCTTTTACTTCTGTGAATCACTTTTCTGTTTACCCTATCGAATCTTTCTCATTTTAAAATGTCCTTCCCCTCTGTGAAACCCGAAGTCAACTAAAGTGTCAATGATAACTATCATACAGCCTGCCAATTTGAAATAAATATATGGGAAATCCTTGCCAGTAGGGTGCACACTACGTGGTATAAGGAAGCACAAGAAATTACAAAGACAACTTGATGTTGCATTAAAATTCAGGAATTCAATATCACCCTCTGAAATATGGAGTATGTTAGGAAGAATAATCGAATCGCTGCACTGGAGAGAGAAATTCGCAATATACAATAGATTATCCATTTGATTTTGTTACCGCGCTTTCACCTGAAGATTTATCGACTCATGTGGAGAAGCGTAAACGAAATTATTGATCTATTGATTAGCCAATAATCTCTCACTCATTTAAACTTTTATAAGCAAATAAAAAATTGATAAAAAGAAAAAAATCTTTTGAGGTAAAAATATTCTCTTATCCCCTTCTTTGAGGTTGAGTAGCCCTAGCTTTAGCAAAAATCCACATGAAAATATTTTTTAAATGTTTGTTTAATTAATTGTTTAAATGAGGTGTACAACTGTGAAGACCTAATGATATCTAAATTTGATGTGGAAAAAGCAATCCGAGGCCAGCATTATGACAAACTCGCACATGTTGTCTAGACTTCATCAAGGTGATCTGTCGCTATTATCAATGGATGTGGCCATCAATATATCGATTGGTATCGGGAAAGCTGCCTGTTTTCAATTTAACAAGATCTCGAAAATAAGAAGAGAAAAATAACACTTTACATTATTATTAATAAGGTTGAAAAATATTACTTGGAAAAAGGTTAATTTCAAATTCTTTGATTAGTATTTATAATTAATAAATTAATTAACGATTCTAGCAAAGTTACAAATCTTTATGATTTTCTGTTGGTGTCCCGAACTTTAACATTTTTCCCGCCACAAATGCCTTTGGAGTTCGTATTTTTGTCAAAAAATTTTAAACCATGTGTGAGTGGAGGACAGGGCTTAGATACAATTAACTTGAAATACGATATTTGCAAGTACTTACAGCCCTTTGCTATATCGATAGCGAATTTATTTGTTTAGTTTTAACTCCTTTCTTTACTCTTGAAAATCGTCCTTTATGCCAAAAATTTTATTAATTCAAATAGTTGAAGCGATATGACCACAGGCTTAGCGTTGTTTCTTTTGGAATTTTAAATGTCAATAATACGAGATCTTGCATTCCATTTTATTTCGAGTTTCTTCCTATCTTATCCTTTGCGTTGTCTTGCAACAAACTAATTCATAATCATTAGTTTATAATTAATAGTTGAGTATCTTTTTGTAGGGGAAAAAGTCTGCATATATTGCATATTGGGACATTGGAAAAAATTGTGCTTTTTTCGTGACAAATAAATGAAATACCGTAATAATAAATTATAAAGATATTTAATAGTTGGAATCTGTTTGTAGCTATTTAATTTTGTATATCGGTTAGTGATTCCAATTCAGCTATTCTAAATTCATGATTTTCCCCGTGGATTTTTGCCCAAACTGCAAGCATTTAATTAATTGTTAGACATAAATCGTTTTTTCTCCAAAAGGTACTATTTTATTAGTTAAAAAATGCAAATTTGAACAGAGTTCGTTCAGGTTGTACTCCTAAAAATAGCAATCAACCTACTTACTGCTTGTAATCTTTCACTCTTTTACAACCACGGGAGTGCGGAAGAA